TTTCTCTTTGCTATTTTTAGAAAATATCCTAAAATTTTGTTCGCTCACACTACACATGTACTGTTTGGCTTTTTTCTCTCCTAGAAATATCATTGTCATAATTCACAAAAAAAACTTAACAAGACAATAATTTTTGTTCATGATAACTTACTACTTTCAAAATCTGCACGAGTCAACATATCTAAAATCCATTGAATAAATTGTGTTTCAATTTTTTTTCTCAATAAATTCATATTATTTGGTGATTCTGCAGTGAGTTGCATGGTTGTATACAATTTATGTGTTTGATTCCAATAATGTGACGATGATAATGGTGATGATGATGATGAGGTTGGTAGTAGTGGTGGTGATTTTATCGAAGTTAATGAAGTATTTTCATTTCGACTTAATGAATTTGTTGATATAAATGTACAAGATACATGTTGTGTTGATTTCTCATGAATTTTATGATTATTGATTGACAAGGATGGTTTCATAAGCATATGAGCAGTTGTACGATGACTAGCTAAACATTTAGCTTTTGTATCTAGAAAAGAGGGAATTTCGATACAATATGCAATTCAGTTTCATGTAGTAGATGTAATAGCATTTTTTTTAAAAAAATATTCGAGATAATACAAGACAGTTTAATTTGGAGCATTGAAGTAGTATGCCATATTATAAACTAACGTGTTATCTTCAAGTCTTATTAGATATCATCTAATAGGATAAATATTATCGTGTTCACAACCAAATCTGAAAGTCTACAGCTCAACTCCGCGAGGGCTGATTTAAAAATTAGTATATTACGCCTACACGTAAACACGTCTACTGGATATACTTGAACTATTACGAGTTTACCTAGTCGGAAAACGAGAGCGAGGATCGAGGATTCGGCGACACAACATGGCACTCAAATCCGATTATCCCAAACCCCATATTAAGTAAAAATAAGAAGACTCGAATGTGAAGTAGAACTTGTATTCGACAAGCATCCAGAAAGTACGAGGTCCGAATCCAGAAGAGAATCAGGATCCCGGACTAGGGATCCGGGACCGGGTCCTGGTCCTGGTCATAAAACGTTACAGATAATGCGTATTTATACATTTTGGTCGAATAGGAAACAGCATCGAAGTCTGTGACATTGACAATTAAGACGACCAATAGGAAGCAACATTTGAAGTGACATTGATAGTCAGGACAACCAATAAGAAACAACACTGGAGCACGTGACATTGATATCTAGGACGACCATAAAATTGACCAGTAGGAATCAACCAATGGGAATTGACCAATAATTCTCTTAGGATATTGGATGACTATACTTACATAGTTATCGGCTAAGATTTAACAACTAGTAGCATTCTTCGATCAAAAGTAAACCGTGAGTAGCTAGCAATCACAGACTGATAAACTCTTATGTATCACATAAGTGACAGATTATTTCATAATGCTAAGTAATTCTTTATGCTTTCTCATCCTGTATTATGACAACTTATGTTGTTTTAAGGAATTTCTGGTTTTTGACTAAATGGTCAGATTTTAAATGACTATGTTTACTTTGATTTATATTCGAACCTAACATAAAAACAGCCCTCATCTGGAATCCTCAAGGTCAAAGAAAAAGAGGAAGGCCAAGCAACACAATACGCCAAGAAATGGAAACAGACATGAGAAGAATGAAAAAAAAAACTTGGACAGAACTGGAAAGGGAGGTCCAGGACAGAATCGATTGGAGAATACTTGTCGGCGGCCTTTGCTCCATTGGGGGGTAAGTAAGTGAAAACAAGTAACTTCCCAATGAATAAATCTCCCATGAATGCTTTGATTTCATCACAATCACTTGTTTTGCTTAGTATTTTTATCGAAATTCGCATAATATGCGAAAAAAATATATATAATAATCCAGAAATTTTGATTTCATCTCAAAGAAAAAAAATATATACTGTTTTATTCCAATTTTTGTAAAGATTAAGCGAAATCAAAAAAAAATGAAATTCATCGAATGATCAATTAAACTTACCTGTAGGAAAAAAATATTGAACAAAACAATCTAAATCACCCCATGGTACAGCTCCGTTATAATTGGCATCATATTGAAGTGGAATGTGTGGATCGAAATCAATCAACTGTTCAATAGTTATACCAATTTTATGCTCAACTAGTAGTAGTAAGTAGATGGAATTAAACAGAAGAATTAGTGATACTTATGGAGTGAAAGCAATCAACATATGTTTTAAAACGGTGACTCTACTTGATATTCAGTCACTCAATGTTTTACAAGGGGGCAAGAACAAAGAATTGACTAGAATAATATGAATAGATTTTAGTTTGTAAGGATCGTATCAATTACTTACAACCTATAATATTGTAAAAATCAGAATTATTGTAAAGTTTACATCACAGCAACAAGGGGTACGTTCCATGGTGAAAGAATTATGAGTATATAAACTTCGCAATACTTCTGAGTTAAGTAGTACTCTTTCATTTAGAGTTCTTTCACATATTGAAATAATCAATCAATTATTGTTAGATCACCTTTAGAAACCTGGAAACTCTGAAAAATGGCCCTCAAGTCCTGATATGGGACTCATCCGCAGTGAGCATCCACGACTCCTGCTACAAGCAGGACTCGAACCAGGGACTTTCAACTTCGCGCGCGAACGCCTAACCTCTGAACCAATGGGCCCGTATCCTACGGTGTTATGAGTTTCAAACAGCTGATGAGAAACCTACAAAATAAAATGTATTCATGTTATTCTGCTCTATACTTTGCTCATGCCCTCGTCAAGATAATAAAAAAGGAACTATTTGTATGAAATTTCTCAAAAAGCACTTTATTGCTTGTCTGTGAGAAATAGTTGTTAATACAAAAATGATCAAACTGAAATTCATAATAGTAAATGTTTGAATGTGTAGCTTGATGGTTGATAATTTATCTTTTTATTATTTTTAAGACATCTGTCAATTCTGTTTGCTCGTTTCATGATCATTTCTTTCTTAATCGGTTGCATTTTGTGAACTTGACTACACTACTCACTAATATTTTGATAATATATGTAAGCATCAATAATTTTTGAGCTTGTCGCATTCTGCGCTCGTCATTTGAATATACAATAAATCAAGGTATTCACATAAACGCTTTATATATTCCATAAATTGAAGTTCGTAATATGCATTGCTTATGTTGTCATTAATAATGCCACCTCTCTATTGACAAATCGTTTATTGTGATACTGGATTTTCCACGTGACTCAACTGTTTTTCGACGGGAATTATGAAAATAGATTTAACTGCACTATTTTGGTATTCTTCATATCTTTATAAATAATTGTTGCGCGGGCGCGTAAACACGTCATTTTAATATGCTTGAATTATTATGAGTTTACCTTAGTCGGAAAACTAGAGCGAGGATCGAGGATCCGGTGACACGACATGCTATTCTAATCCGAGTGTCCCGACCCCCATTGAGTGAAAGAAGAAGACTTGATATAAAGTAGAACATGTATTCTCTAAGCATCTAGAAAGTACGAGGTCCGATTCCAGAAGAGAATCAGGATCTCGGACTAGAATCCCGGTCCGGGTTTAGGTTATAAAACGATACAGATAATGCGTATTTATGAAGTTGGGTCGAATGGGAACCAACATTGAAGTCTGTGACATTGATAGTCAGGACGACCAATGGGAAACAACATTGACGTACGTGACATTGATAGCTAGGACGACCATAATATTGACCAGTAGGGATTAACTGATAGGAACTGATCAATTGAATTAGACTTACAAGTGATTCTCTTACGACATTGGTTGAATATCCAAATATCCATCAATCAATCATTGTTAAACCACCATTAGAAACCTGGAAGCACTGGACGGCCGTCAAGTCCTGGTATGGGATTCTTCAGCGGTGCGCATCTAAGACTCCTGCACCTCGCAGGATTCGAACCCTGGTGTAGGCAGTAAATACCAAAGAAAAATGGGCGAGGTCGCGCAAAATCCCTAGGTCGATCAGAGTTAGACATTAACACTGTTGGATGCCAGCCTAGTGGTCCGATGGTTAGGCGTTCGCGCACTATACCGAAGGTCCTGGGTTCGAATCCTGCGAGGTGCAGGAGTTGTGGATGCGCACTGCCTCTGATGAGTAGTCCCATACCAGGACGAAACGACCGTCTCGTGCTTGGAGGTCTCTAATGGTGGTCTAACAATCACTGATTGATGATTCGGAATATGAGAATAGTAGACAAACTGTCTTGACATTTGATTTTATCTTTGGGTTACACAAAATGCTTATTCTTAAAAAAATGTTCGACAACTTTTGTTTTATTTTCAAAGTTCTTACTTTTTTTTGGAAAAAAAACTTTTCGAATAATATAAAGAGAAATTTCCACATACCTGTCAAATCTACACTATTTACACTAGTTGCCATAATCTCTTTGCCTACAACAATACCACTTTTTCTGTTTTGATCTACTGTATTCATCATAAAGGTATTGTTACTATTCACATCAATGGTACATTTTAAATTATGTAATGTGATCAGATTGTCAATTTGTTCATGAGTACCAACAGCTAGTAGTACATGAATTTGACCATTTTCACAACCAGAGAATGGATCAATAATGGGCAACCATGCATCGACAGGAATCATTGGATGCTTGTAAGAAAAAAAATAATAATAAAACATAACAAAACAACAAATATGTGTTTACATGCCAAATAGAGTCAGTCTGTTGCAACGTAGAACTTCGTACGTATGTACATAAGTTCAGGTTGACATACCATATTAGCAAAGAGACGCAAATGTCAAATCAAATCCCATAGTGATAAAAATAGTAGAGGTATTAATGGTAGGTAATGAGGAAGACTAGGGTTTGAAGATATTATTCAAGAAGTATAATTCAGTCAGATAAGGTTAGAAAGACAAAGGTAGAGGTGCTGACCAATCCAGAAGATTAGGATTTGAGAGAACACACAGATTGGATGCACTTGCGCGATTGAAAACGATTTTGAGCCAAGTCATTCAAGGTCTCTAACCATTGGTGACTTTCGTATTGCGGACCCCAACCAGGTAGCCTACATCTACCACATGCAAAGTAGAAATAAATACAGATTGCAGATTATAAATTATGATTGGTTATCCTAACTGTCAATGTCACAGACTTCAATGTTGGTTCCTATGCGAACTAACTGTATGAATACGCATTATCTGTGATGTTTTATGACCCGTACCCGAACCGGGATCCTTAGTTCAGGATCATGATTCTCTTCGGGACTCGGACCTCGTATTTTCTGGATGTTTGTAGAATATAGGTTCTACTTCATATCAAGTCTTCTCTTTTTACTCAATGGGGGGTTGGAACAATCGGATTAGAGTAGTATGTCATACCGCCGGATCCTCGATCCTCGTTCTCGTTTTCCGACTAAGGTAAACTTGTAATAGTTTAAGTCTATCAAATTGATATGTTTACGTGTATGCTTAATAGTTATATAGTTTTTTCTCATAAAAATTAAGTTAGATTCACGATATTTGAATTTGAGTATTGAAATGAATAAGTCAAATTATAAAAGCATCATTCAATGAAATCATTTTTACATGTCAAAAAACCAAACAGAAGAATTCACAAACAAGGAAATACGGACGATCAGTTAGGCGACACAGATGTATGTTTGTGTTTACGGAAATGTACTGGGAATTAGAACTAGTTGAAAGTTAGTGAAAATTTAGAGAAGTACTAAGACACATTGTGTTCTGGCTTCATAAGAAACGTTTCTACAGCATAAACAGATTTACCAGGGACTAGCCAGGTTTGGGCCCTGAATGTTTCAGCATTTAGCAATTAAGTCAAAGTTTGGTAATTGACACGTTACCTCAAACCATTGAGTTTATTAGTTGATATTTTTTTTAACGTATTTGTAATTGACATCAGTGACACATTCAGTTCTGCAGAGAATAAACACTGTATGTGATGGTCAGAGGTATAATGTTTAGATCAAAATCATCTGATATAAAGCCTGTTCGATTACATTCATTCTTAATTATCTTAAAGAAACAATACACGTTGATGCAATTCATAAATATTTGTAATTAATTAGAGACGAGGTAAGTTAGTATATGAAATGATAACCAGTTTACAGTGAAATATTTCTACAACAATTTATAGATTGTACGATTAATCAAAATTCTATCTAGCAATGATTTTTCATTATGCTTTCAAGCCTATTTAGCAAGTACATTACTGAATAAACTTCAGCTAGTCAAATAATAACATTGAGCAGATCAAGAGAATTATTTATCTGATCATATAATATTTTTCTACTGTTAATAACTAACTCCGCCTGTAGATCCTTCGTGGCTACTGCCGATCCAAAGCCCGGATAAGGGAGGAAGGTTGGGCATGAGATTGGTGACCCCAACCCGTCAAAAAACTAACTTGCCAAAAAATCGCTAACCAGAAGAAATAATTCACTGTTAATAACCAATGATCCGATCAGTTGGTGAATCATAATCAACGTAGAATTATCAAGCACATACACCAGCTGAAGTTGTGTCATACCACATAAGAGTAGTGGGACAAACCCATCACGATAAGTCAAAGCAATAGGAGTAGGAGTAACAGTATCAGTGTTAAAAAACTGATTCAATCTACAAATATGATTCTATAAGAATGAATTCGTAAGGTCGAAAAAAGGATAAGATAATTTTACTAGAACAGACTACACATCTTATTGGACAGAAGCTTCAGTTTAACGGTTACGATGATTGCAAAAACCTACATTCTGCGGTCTTCACCTAATTACATGGTTCAATCTAACAACTGGTGACTTAATGCTCTAATATCTCTGTCCTTAGTTTTTGCCTAGTCTACTCCCATTCTACTCAGTATTGCACGCCCAGGTGGACAGAGAGACAAACAGATAGAACGCAGAACTTCGTACATAAGTACATCAGTTCAGGTTGCCATACCACATCAGCACAGAGACGCAGCTGTCAACTCAAATCCATGAGAGATAGCAATAATAGAAGTATTAGCAGTAATGGAGAAGATTAGAGGGCGAAGATATGATTCGAGAAGTATAATTCAGTAAGATAAATTTAGAAGGAGAAAGATAGAGATTATGAGGAATTCAGAAGGTTAGAATTAAAGAGAACACAAAGAGTGGATGCATCTGCGCCATTGCAAACGATTTTAAGCCATGTCGTTCAAGATCTCTAACCATTGGTGACTTTCGTCTCGTGGACATCAACCAGGTAGCCTGCATCTACCAACATGAATCAGTCCACTTGTAAGTAATTTCATGGATTTGTGCCATGTTTTGGTTTAGCCGCCCCTAACTTTCTATCAACCTACTCCTACACTACAAAACATAGCTCGTCGCGGCGGTCGGTGGTTAGGCATACGTAACAGATGTCCCAACCACCTCAACTGATGAAGTTTCAATACTTCATCTATTGATTTGCCATCCTTACCTAGAAATCGTTTCTTAACGATAGCATTGCTCTCTCGGTCGTCCCAGGATACACGAGCAATGCTTCGGATACACCTATGACCGAAGACTAGTAACCTACGTATGTCCTCTACTCTTAACGGCCATGTTTCGCATCCGTATAATAGGACGGAGCGAACTGCTGAACAATACACTCGTCCCTTGGTTAGCAAGCCGATATCTCGCCTACTCCAGTGATACAAGTTGGCAAAAGCCAGCAGAACATTCTGTAGCCAAAGTAGGATGTTGTCAGTCACCAGGCTCTCAGCACTGATGAGACTCCCCAGATAAGTGAAGCGGTCTACACGTTCGACTGCTTCACTCCCTATCACTAGTTCAAGTGCCAATGCAACCCAATCTTGAAGCAACATTTTGCATTTCGAGGGTGAGAACCGCATCCCGAACATGCTTGCATTGTTGCTGATGGTGGTCAGAAGACTATGTCATCCGTCCAGGTAGATAGTGGTTTGGTATACATAACAGTCAATGAAGATTTACTACTATCTCATCAACCAGTTGAACATCTTCACAGCTAGAGTCCTGCTTCTGATCTTAGTGTTGCTAATTTGATGGACTGAACATACGAAAGCAATTTATACACTAATAATAAACATTGTAACATACATACGATCGAACTCATCATCTTCATGTTTGCAGAGACTAGTATGGTGAAATTAGATGATCGATTCGAACTTTCGAAAAAAATATATTTGAAGACTTTAATGGATTCATTTTTAAGATTATTTATAAAATCCCTCAATCTCAAAGTAATTAACTTCACACGTTATTTTCTTAGACTGGTAGTGTTAATTGGAAGATTTGCCTCATAGTCAGTTTAGTCAGTAACCAGTAAGCACGATCATCCAAAACAATGAACACTTACATGTGCTTTCAATAAACTTTGTATGACATTATTTGAATGCCACAAAATTTGTGATGTAATCAAATCTACATGAGCATACATTTTTATCAATTGATCTGTTGGAATTTTCACTAGACCAATTAAATGATCCGGTAAACCACTCATCCATTTAGACCATACTTCTACGACAATAGATGATTTGGTCAAACGAATAATTGATTCCTACAGTGAAAATCAATAAGAAAATATGTAATTAGTTGACTTGTAGAAAATGTTGCATAAGCTTAAACAGTAAGTAAGACGGTTTACATCTTTACAGCAACACTTTCTTACTTATTAATATATGAATAAGAATCCATGATAAGGGAGGGAAGGTCTAAACATTTCAAATGAGAGACAGTTACAAACCAATCGACATTCAAAGATGATTACGAACTAATTCAAGTTAGAAATTTGATCCATTGCATACCGATTCAGTTAACTACACGTTCAATATCTAGTAACATTGAACTAATCATCTAATAAATATTAATGAAGTGTATAAAGTGATTAATATTCTCAACTGTATAAAATACAACATTCTATTTCAATCTACTATTCTATCAAATAGTCATTCACAGATTGTGTTACTGATTATGTATGGTTAGTCAATAATAAATTTCTATCGATTCACTTTATTTCACAGTTTACATTATGGATAGACATTAATTAGGCAGTCATTGAATATCGGGAATCATTGGACAGCTGTTTTCTCCTTACAGGAAGACCTTATAGCAGTGTACATTCACAACTCCGCCACGTATCGAACTTAGAACTATCAGATCACTTGATAGGCGCTAAGTCTTTAGACGTCTAACTTCAATGAAATCATATTGCTGGACAGACATCTTTCAGTGCAACTGATGAACAACTGCTTCACACTCAGCATAACTAAACTCTACTACTCACAGTTTCTCTATGTAACACCCGAAAATTCCTACTCAAACTTAATCATCCGGTAGAAAATAGAAAAAATAATAATAATAATAAGAAGAGATACATACCACACACACACACACACACTTACTTGATTTAACAAACATTGTGATCTCAAAGTGAAAGCATATTGTGGACATGAACCACTTAACCATGAAACATTAGAATGATATTGATCTAAATTAGGTGCTGATGAATCGTATAATGATTGCATTTGATGACACCAAGGTAAACGTACAATTAAATAAGAATGTTCAATCAATATGGAATCATTTGGCAATTTGGTAATATATTTTGATGTTAATAATTGTTTATTATGATGATTTTTATTATTGGATAATTTTAATGCTTTACCTTGAGATATATGTAATATTGTATTTAATATTATTGTATTTGATGAGTTAATTGTCTTTGTAATAATATCTAGTTTAGGATACTTTAAAAAAACAAAGATAAACATACAATAAATATATTTGTACAATACATTAAAAAAAATGATAAAGTAAAGAATTTTTCGAAAAAACTGTTTACATTTTCCACACAAATCACACAATAATTCACTGTAGAATCTTAGAGAATAAGAAAACACAAAGGGGATCGCCAAAAGCTATATACATTCAAGACGGTATGTCGAAGCCCAAGCGAGCCATGTTACTTGTCATAGCGATAATATGTTTTGCTCTGTTATCCCATGCAACTTCGATAGCTTACATCAAACTCACTTATGCAAATACGAAGACTGAAATGAGTAAAAATATTTAATTTCCAAATTGAGTTGTAATATGCACACAAATCGCAGAAGCTCTATATAAGATTTTCTTACCAACTCAGAAATGGACATGTAGAAGATATTATTCAAGAAGTATCATTTAATGAGAAAAGTTTAGAAAGTCAAAACTAGAGGGGTTGAAGAACCCAGAAGGTTAGGATTTGAATAAACACAAAGAATAAATGCACCAACGCCATCGCAAACGATTTTGAGCCATGTCATTCAAGGTCTCTAACCATCGATCATCATCATCTCGCGGATCCCAACCAGGTAGTCGACAATTACCGACATGGCTCAGTCCACTAGTCAGTAATTTCATGGATTTCTGCCATGTTTTGGTTTAGCCGCCCCTAACTTTCTTCCAACCTACTCCTACACTACAAAACAAAGCTCGACGAGGGAGTCGCTGGTTGGGCATACGCAACACGTGTCCCAACCACCTCAACTGATGAAGTTTCACCACTTCATCGATTGATCTGCCATCCTTACCTAGTACTCGTTTCCTAACGACAGCATTGCTTACTCGGTTGTCCCACGATATACGAGCAATGCTTCTTAAACATCTATGATCGAATACTAGTAACCTACGAACATCTTCTACTCTTACCAGCCATGTTTCACAGCCATATAAGAGAACGGAACGAACTGCTTCGCAGTACACCCGCCCTTTGGTTAGCGAACGGATATCACGCCTACGCCATAAGTGACGCAAGTTGGCAAAGGCCAATCGAGCCTTTTGTATCCGAGCTGAGATTTCGTCAGTCACCAGGCCGTCAGCACTGATGAGACTCCCCAGATAGGTGAAGCGGTCTACACGTTCGACTACTTCACTCCCTATCACTAGTTCAGGTGCAGATGCAACCCAGTCTTGAAGCAACATTTTGCATTTCGAGGGGGAAAACCGCATCCCGAACATGCTCGCATTGTTGCTTATGGTAGTCAGAAGACTCTGCATTTTGTCAGAGTCTTCACCAAGTAGGACAATGTCATCGGCATATTCTAGATCAGTAAGCGACTTTCCTGGTGGAAAGTCAACCTCTGAAAAATCTGACGAGCTTAATGTTAACTCTAAGAGGATGTCTAACACAAAGTTAAACAAGAATGGAGAGAGTGGACATCCCCGACGGACATCACTTGATGTAGAGAATTCAGATGACAGTTCGCCATATGCTCTCACCCGACCAGTGGTGTTCGAGTAGAGTGCTTGTATAAGGTTAATGTACTTCTTTGGTACACCTTTCAATGACAGACACTGCCAAAGAACCTCACGAGGCTAACAATTTAGAAACTATATTAGTTAAACTTATTCCCCTGTGATTGTCACAAGAGTACTTCTGTCCTTTCTTGTAGATTGGGAAAATTAGCGACTGAAACCAGTCAGATGGGATTGAGGACCTAATATCGAAGCCCAACCGAGCCATGTTACTTGTCATAGCGAAAATATGTTCTGTTCTGCTATCCCACGCAACTTCGATAGTTTACATCAAACTCACTTATGCAAATACGAAGACTGAAATGAGTAAAAATATTTAATTTCCAAATTGAGCTGTAATGTACACACAAATCGCAGCAGCTCTATATAAGATTTTCTTACCAACTCAGAAATGGACTCATTGAAAACTATTCATTCACCATAGGCTCTAACCAATCACATTGCCATAAAAATAAGGGTGATTATATCATTGGTCTGAATCAGATTGTCGATGAGATCGAACTAATTACATGAGTACTTTGTGAAAATTTGTCAATAACAACAATAATAATAATATCTTCTAGTCGACCATTTCTTTCCAAATATTATTTATATTCCAGGCTTCTTTTGTCTTTCGAGGCAAAAATACACTTTTCATTTATTCCCAAAGCTTTTAGATATCACGAAGTCAAAATCTAACGTTCACATAAACTTTTCAAGAGGGTTTTTTTTTAGTGAAGAAATCATCATCGATCCTGCCTTTGATATTAGTCAAATAAAATCTTTCATTTACTTATTATTTATTTGTAAAGTTCAGTTTCTGTAACGATTCAACTGGTTGAACAACACATATAAGCGAACAATATTGTTTTTTACAATCAGATCGTCATCAGGCTTTACTCTAATATACGTGAGTATTTGTCTTGAAAATTTTAAAACTAATCAGGGCAATTTATGAGTCAATAATCACAATGAAATAGATTAGGTCACTACACAAAATAGGCAAAAGTACAAGTTGATAGTAGGAAGAAAGGTGTACTGATATTAGTAAGAAAAATATAAAATACGAAAACAAAAGTTTAATCACTAATAGGTCAAACGAGGAGACCATTAAATAATAAGAAGTGTGTAAATAATTAGATAATGAAGTATATAAACAGAAAGAGGACGAAAATTACAAACAAATATACGATAAGAAGATTAAGAATTATTTTTCAACTGGCTGGGAGACAAAATCAAATGAGTCTAGACCTACTACAAAATCACTCCATTCGATCACTTAATTGAAAATAATCTATTATTATGATACATGTAACCACCACTCATTCTCATATTTCATCAGCATAGTGAGATGAAATTGTCAAGCCATATCTGAGAGCAGTAGAGGTAATAACAGTTGTTGTGGTGATAGAAAAGATTAGGCGTATAGACTACATGATTCATGAAGAATATGTGCAATTAAAACCATTGCCAATTATTTGAAAAGTAAAAAATCTGAGAGGAAACAGAAAGTGAATGTACACTGGTCATTGAGAACAAATCTGAGACATATCACTTAGTCTCCAAGCAATTGTCACAATGATCACGCAGATCGGAAACATGTGATCTGCACCCACATACAACATGGTTCAGTTCAAAAATGAATAACCATCTAAAATAGGACGTCTCCTGGTCAAATAGTGATTGTATCATTGCTTTGATTTCCATAAATGAGAAATCAAGACAAGCATTACATCAAAGTAGTCAAATGAGTAGTTTTTCAGAATAATAAAAATTGAAATCACAAATCAGCCATTTTGTCCTGGTATGGGACTCATCGGCAGTGCGCATCCACGACTATCGGCACCTAGCAGGATTCGAACCCAGGACACTCGGTCTTGCGTGAGAACGCCTGACCTCTGAACCACTGAGCAGGTATCTAACGATGTTAATGTCTAACTGCACTCAATTCACGGCATAACGGCGGTCTAACATTGATTTATTCATGATTTCAATGTGTAACTTAACAATCTTCACAACCCCGTGATGCGATAAGAAAAAAGCAAACAAATCTATAAATTTAACACCCCAGCCTCATCTCTGTAAGAAACATGTCAACTTGAGTCTCAAACTCCAGGGTGAAACAACTGTCCAATAATTACCTAAATACGTTCAGTTCATGTTATTGATGCACGAAGAATCCCCGAGAAAGTTTACAATCGTTCCACAGATTTTTTTTAGTCCTAAGTAAGTACAGTCAGGGTTGAGAACTAATCATTTTACATTGTTGAAATATTTTGAAACGTAAATAACTAAAATACCAGAATAGAAATTTTGTTAATTGGCTGTTGTCTATCTGCTTCTTAATTCGTTGCCATTACGATTTGCCAATCAGTTTTATATGCGATTACCTTTATGATTTAAGTAAATTATAAATAATAACCAAAGTCATAGACCAACATGACTGTAGCTTAGCGAACCGAGTTGGTTTCGATCACTATCATCAACTCAAGAAAAATTATTTCTGGTACATGAAGTGACAATATAAACAAAATAATAAAATATATATATTGAAAATTGATACTTTCAATCAAACATGTAACATACCATCATTGAATTTTGAACTGAATGAAATTTCTTATTTTGAATTGATTCATAGTCTGAATTAAAAGAAAATAAAAATTCAACACATGTGATGATACACATACATATTTAGAATCGAAGATTTACAATCGATCACTTACGAATATGATGTTTGAATTTCTATGAACTTAATTAAACTAAGCATGCATTGTTTCAAGCTTCTTCCTACTAAGGTACATGCAGAAATTCCTCAACAACAAAAAAGAAAATCATTTTACATCATTATTTTATGTTTCACATAATAAGTTGTGAGTAGTAATCGACTGTGAAACACAATTATCATGCATATTTGGTGTAAATCAAACACAGAAATCTATTTAGTAGGGAAAAAGGGAAAAAATTGGGGAAGGTGAAACTTTTAGCTATATGAAATGATCAATTATTATTATTATTATTATTATTATTATTATTATTATTATTATTATTATTATGTGTTATCTATTATTCAATATCTGTCTAAATATAATACTTTTATTTACTTTATTAACTATCGATATATGTTCTGACCAAAGTCAGAATTTTCAATAAAAATGTTAACACAGTTCTACTGCATGGGGCAGAAATTGGGAAAACTACCAAAGCCATCATCCAGAAGATATAAGTATTTATTAACAATTGCCTACGCAAAATATTTTGGATCTGTTAGCCAAACACCATCAGCAACAACCTATTGTGCGATAGAAAAAACTAGATTTCAGCAGAAGAGGAAATCAGGGAGAAGCGCACACATTGCGGAAAGCACTCAACTGTGTCACAAGACAAGCCATCACTTGGAACCCTTAAGATCAAAGGAAAAGAGGGAGGCTGTTAGTTTCGTCACTAGGTATGCTTGAAACTATTACGGGTTCACCTTAGGTGATAAATGAGAACGAGATAATGAACCAGCGTCCCGGTAGGCTACTCTGATCCGTTGACCCAAATGTTCTAACAAGAAGTCTTGATATAGCGTAGAAAATGTATTCTACAAACACCCAGTCAGCATACGATGAATTCAAGTACACAAATCGCGTTTATTTATACATCATAGAAACCTCCTTGGGACAGTCACAAAAATAGCACACTAAAATACACAACAGCCAATCACAGTCATTGATTTTCCTGGTGTGAAATGAAATCCCAAGGTCTACTGATCAGCCCATCAATAAAATCCAAAATAAAGTCATTTATCAAGCGAGTTCTGGGGATCTAACTTCCCTAACGGAGGCCCAGAAACACACTACGCCGAGAAACGAACACAGACATGAGAAGAATAAACGAAAATTTGACAGAATCGGCACGGGAAGCGAAGGACAGAGTAGGCTGGATAATACTGTTCGGTGGCCTACGCTCCATTGGGGGTCAGGTGTCAGTAAGTAAGTAAGTAATAAGTTTAACCATTACAGAATTAAGAGGGGACTTAAATATTGACATTTTGTTACATTTCTTGTCATAGATGAATAAACTTTGTTTAAATTATTTCTTATGTATGTTGCATTGTGATCAGATGATTAATGTAACGTAAACTTTGTGTTTTAATAATACGAGGTAGATCAGCTAAGTGTCCTTAGTTTTTTGATAATCTAATGGGAATAAATAAATTCAATTGCCTCAATAAGATTTTAGGGTATACCGGTCAGTGCTACTGGGTTACCACCAGTTGAAGTGAAGATTAATCGTCGAATACACGTAAACGATCTAGTAACTTAGTGGACTATGTCGTCAAATGACCTGATCATGTGATCATGTGATCGGGATGTTTGAATCATTACACTAGTCAGTGTATAACATTCAACTTGGAACTTGTAAAAATTACAAATACTGGTGTTCGATCTTTTCTGTTGGAAAAATTACAGCAAAAGGGAACAAAATAAACGAGAAGTAATAATTGCAACATTAGATGTCATTAAATAAAAGAATTATTTGATTAAATAAAGAACCCGAATTTTACTTTATAATTTCTCCGTAATCAATAGATCTTTTGAAATTTTAGAAAATTTTTATTCAGTCCACATTAATGTGAACTTAGGTTTAACAATTAATTTGGTGCCTTGCATGACACTGATCATATTTTCTTTCTAGTTAAATTGATCGAACAGAGGAGTTTTGGAAGAATTCAATTTCTTTTGATGTTCACTAAGTCACTTTATACAATGTACTTAATTATTCGATTTCATGTCAGTCACAGATAGCTTTTTGTTAATTTGCTTGACAGTGTTTAGGAAATGTGTTCATGTGTTGTTCTGCTTTCAAAGTTATTGTAAGCGAACAAGTTAATACACAAAATTTATTTGATTAGGTTCAATTCAATTCGATCTCTGAGTGTAAGACTTCGCATTTAGCTTATCTGTAGCGGCTATGAAGGAGAAGAACAGATAATTGTCTGTGCTAACAATGTTAGGTAGATTGAAGTATTTCAACGTCTAGGTCAAGATTTATCAAAGTCACGGAGGGAATATCTCTTGAAAAAATTCATACAGCCTGTTGAATTAATGTTGACAATGTCAGCAGAAACAGGTTGGTAATAATGACTATAGTATCCAAAACATGGCAGAAATCCATGAAATCATTGACAAGTGGACTTAGCCATGTCGGTAGTTGTCGACTACCTGGTTGGGATCCGCGAGATGATGATGATCGATGGTTAGAGACCTTGAATGACATGGCTCGAAATCGTTCGCAATGGCGCCAGTGCATTTATTCTTTGTGTTCTCTCAAATCCTAATCTTCTGGATTCTTCAACACCTCTAGTTTTGACTTTCTAAACTTCTCTCATTGAATCATACTTCTTTAATAATATCTTCTAGTCCTAACCTCTCCGATTACTTCTAATACCCTTACTACCTCTTCTACTATTGGATTTGAATTGACAATTACATCTCTGTGCTAATGTGGTGTGGCAACAGGAACTGATGTACTTACGTACGAAGTTCTACGTTGCATCTGACTGACTGAATGACTATAGTATGGATTTGAATCATTGTTTTAAATATCGATATACGTGAATATGTGAAATAACCCTGTTAGGGGGACATAGATTGGATTAAAACATATTCCATACATGATTGCGCTGTTGCACGCTGATTGGCTCTTTCGTATTCAATCAGCGCTAGTCAAGCTGGGGGAACATTCTAGAATCTTTCCATGTAAGAAACTATAGATATATTAACATTTTGAACTTCTCTGACTTCCATCTAACCTTGTTATTGGAATATACAACCGTGTTCTGATTCGGGAGAACGTCTCAAGTAAATTGGTGTCCGAGAATACTGAGCATTAGGAATATCTGGGTTGTATTAAAGAGATAATCATGACAAACCCCAGCAAAGATCAGACAAAAGAGCACTACTACTACTACTACCGAAGAACTTCATACAAGAAAGAAATAATTATTTAGAACTTAAATGCTTTCAATTGTAGTGTGACTAAGATCATTTCATAACATGAACTATGAAAAAAAAATAACTGTAGTTACCTTTTTTCATCATATTGATATTTGTTTGATTTCTCGGTGTAACATTCATATTCCAGATTGGTTCTAATTCAAATTCTAAACGACCAATCACATTTGAATCGATCGCTTTCAATTTTTGTCCAGAACATAAATGAATGTACAAGTGAGTTGTAGGATTCGGAGAATTTAAATGTACTTTTGATAAGATAGTTGAACGAATTTCATCTGGATTGACAAAATTCACACTAATCAACTAGAAAAGTTTTTTTTTTGAGAAGAGATTTAAAAATAATTCTTGATATTATTATTATTATGAATATTGAGAGAAATCTAAATACTACTTGATTTTCAAAAGCTCACTGCATGATATATCAATTGCTAGGATCGAAAATATGACTCCTATAAATTAATATACATTTGTACTTATCATGATTATGGTATGATGGGTACGAATTACATCTGATAATTGAGAAATAATTCCATTGGAAAATGAACAAAACTTCAAATCGTTTATTTGTTAATTGATTTCTAATCATATCTATTATTGAGGAAAATAACCCGTCAGTTAGTCAGTTACAACGTAGAACTTCGTACGTATGTACGTACATCAGTTCAGGTTGCCGTACCACATTAACACAGATATGCAACTATCAGTTAAAATCACAAAGTGGTAAAGATAGTCAATTATAAATAGTAATGGAGAAGATTAGGGTTTCAAGATATGACTTAAGAAGTGCAAGAGGACAATAATATTTCCTGTATTAATGCGTTATTGTATTAGAAAAGAAAAGCCTATTCCATTGAGCAACTATCTTGCTTTTTGATATCAGTCCAGGTGAAACGGAAGCTACTTATATTAATAATGATAGTTCGGTCTTGTGAGCAGTTTTCATTCGGCTACTTTGGATCATAACATAACGTGTTATGAAGTGATCAGTGTATTTCATCTATCAACTTAACGATCTTTAAACATCTTTCAACTACAAATCATAAAACGCTAATTCGCCACAAAATCAAAGTATTGCACATTGTAATATTATATTTTATCCACATAGTTGAAATCAAATTGATTCAAATTCATTGATTACTGATTACGCCTTCTAATTATCATAACAAACCTAGTTTTATTCAGAATTATAGGTTCGATTTCAGTTCAGAATTCAAAGAACAAACGTGCATTATGAAATAAATCCCCTATTTAATATATGTTTAGTTTGTTATCTTTCAAAATATATGTGAAAAATTTTTTTCATCAGTGATTAGATGGCATTTATCTTTATATGCAAGTATTTCTCCTAGCGTCTTTCGTTATTTCATAATAACATGGCTTACGTTTGAAATTCAATATCGTTTTATTATGTCAATGGGTTTTAACTTTTAGAGGAAGGCGAATTGTATTTCCATCAGACACGCAGTTCTAGTAGTCTAGCTGAGAACATGCTTTCTGATAAATGCAAACTGGTTACCTCCAAAGGAGAATTAGT